GGAGCAGGCCATGGTGGAAGGGAGGCAGCGGGGCTGGCGGAGGGGGGGGAGAGCGAGAGGGCAAGCTGGTTTACGGGGTGGAGGGTACGAGGAGGGTATCGCTGCCACCTTTTCCCCCGCCTAGCGCTAGCCTGGTCGCTTGGCTCGGCCAAGGCACCTGCGCTGAGGGAGCAGTGCCCCGAGTCCTCGCCCTGACCTGCAAAGGAAACCGAGGAGCGACGCTGCTCCTCCAGAGAGAGAGCAGAAAACGGGGGCAAGAGGGGAGCCCGCTCCTCAAATTCTATGCTCCCTCATCAGTTTTTTTTGTTTGTTTTTTTTTTTTTTTTAAAAAAATATGTTTATGCGAGGAAAGGAAAGTCAAGTGCAAAGCTTAGGAATACTGCGTTTCTGGTAGCTGCAATGAGGCAGTTCTGTGCGAGGGTTGGGAGGTTGTGTTTGTGTCCCTGCTCCCGCACCAGGGTTCCTGCCAGTAGTGCTGGGGGGAGAGTTTCATTGAACCGGAGACCCCAATCCTCCCATCTCTGTATCCCCCTGCATCTTCCTGCCCTTGTATCTTTCTACGCGTTTCTCAAGTCATCCAAAGCCTTTTAGCCCAGAGTTTGCTCTTTCGTCTCACCCGCAATCCTACTTCTCCTCCCAAAAGCTGTGTCTTTCAAGTTTTCTTCATTCCCGGTACATCCCTAGCTGTTATTTAGCTACCTCTACTCTGCGTCTCCCCCTCCTTTCTGTCTTCTTTTGGCGTACCTGCTGGCTGTGAGCATTACTTACCTTCTGGCTGGTATTATACCAGTTAAACCCAGTGGCTCGCTGTACAAGCGAAGATTGGCTCCCGCTCCAGTTGGGCTTTCAGAAACCCAAATGTGTGGTTAAGTAATTTCCAGGGGAAGAGGCGGTGTGAGTTCAGATTCTATTTTGCCGAGGAAGAAATTGAACCCAATTTCTCTTTTCCTGCATAGCTGTTCTAATCACTGGGTTGGGGTATGAAAAGCAATATTCTTATATCTGTCTTTGAATGTCTGAGTTTATTTTTGTTTTCCAAACAAAACTCCTCAGCAAATTTGACAGTGTTTAGTGAATCTGAGTGTGTGATGCTTTAAGTTCAAAAGTAAAGAATCAAAAGTACAGTTGAGAAAAAGTATATTTAAGCTTAAAAGTAATAATTGGGGAAAAATAAATTCATTTCTAGTTGCCTGATAAATTCTTCAGAAACTTTAATATTTGAAAAATAACATGCTTATAAAGCGAAGATTTTATATTTGTGAAGGCATAACCACGATTTTTTGTTTATTTTTCGTTTATTTCCCTTGCTTGGTAGTTTTTCTTCATTCTTTCAGCATCTGCCCTCAGGTTCATTTTACATGCTGTTTAATATTTGTAAAATAATAATTTCTGAGCACTCGCTTTCTGTTTTTGTTTTTTTTTCCCCTGTGAATACAAAAAAAGAGCATATCCTTTTTTTTTTCTGATTCTACCTCCCTGTTGGAGGTGGGCTTTTAAAAGCGTTCAATTTTGTGTAATTGCATTGGCACATTTATCACATTGTTTTGCTTGCATGTGTTTACTTTGCTTTAGTTTGGTGATGTTTTTAAACTTTTATTTAAAGAGCTGGTAGCTGAGTCATAGGAGACTGTTAGAGTAATAACAGTCTGTTCAATAATCCCTTGAAAATCAAGGCATTATAATGGTTCTTTTGCTTAAACAGTTAATTTGCCTGTGATCACTTGAAGGAGCATAAAAAGAAACTGATACTTAGGTGCTTAAATGCCTTTAAAAATTACAGTCCAAAGTGCCGTAGTAGACCTGAGGCTAAGGCGCTTAAAAACAATGCAGATAGCCTAGTACAGGAAACAAACAAATGCTTATCAGCTCAAAAGGCTAGAAAAGGTGAAATTTGCCCCTTTGAACCCTTGGGATACTTTGGGTGATAAAGCAATACTTTTACTAAACAGAGGAGTTTTGCAACATCTGCCATTTGAACAATTTTAATCATATTTACCAAGTCTTCTTGAACAGGGATATCTGGAGTTACCTGGTTAGGTGGAGCTGTTTCTGTGGAACCAAAGGTTCATTTATTTCTTTAGTCACAAAAGGAAGACAAGATGTGCAATGTCTGTTACCTTCCCAATAGCCAGCACACCTACAATACCCATGTTACGTGAAATATACCAAATGCTGGTCGCAGTAATCTTACTAATTTTATTGATATTCCAGCTTTTTCATAATGAAAATGTCAAATACAAAGACAAATCCTGTGTTTCTGGCTGCTCCCCATCTTACTGGTCTTTCTGTGTCTTTCTGCAGTCCTTCTGTCTTTGTACAATATTGTTGATGGGACAAAGAAGTGGACATCAAGAAAGAAGTAAGAACCTAGAGCTGGCAGCAAGTGAGACCATGAAGGCAGAATCAAAAGTACAAAATAATAAAGATGAAGCCGAAGAGCCGAAGGCCAAAGACCAGAGGCTAACATTAGTCTTTGGTGTGGCAGATTTAAAAAATGGTAATAATGTTTTGTCTAGTCTTCACTCTCCTTTTTTCTGTTTCTGTCCTCAAACCAGGACAAGTGCCTGCTGTTCCATTCTCTGTCCTTAGGTTTCATTTTCTCCTATTCTTTATCTCTTCACTGAGGAATATACAGATGATTCTCATTTTGCCCCGCCAAGTAACCTTTTTGGGTTTTTGGGAAGGGATTACATGAGGATCACGGAGCTTTTTCCCCTTTTGAGTCCTCAAATTGGCCATTGCAGCCAAAAAGGTCTAGATGCTAGCCCTGTTTCTTTCCAAACACAGCCAGCATTGCTTCTGGATTTGCTAAACCATGGACTAGGCCCTAGTTATTCTGCTGCATCACTAGATTGGCCTCTCAAAAGCTGTCATAGGTATTTCAGGTGTACTTACTGTTCTATCCCAGCTATAGCCCACCCTTACCACTGACTCTATGTGTTTCTGAGTTTCCATTCCATGTCCTTACTGCCTTTGGTGATGACTTCAGAAGAAGAACTCGTAATTTCTGACCATGATTACATATACCCCTTTGGAGCACAGAATATGCCATCCTTTTATATGCAGTGCAAACAGCTGTGACTTGATTTTTCCACTTCTCTCAGGCTAGTTCCTTTGTTTGAAATGAGACAAAAATACTAGAGGTAGGCTGAAGGGGAAACTTGAAGCCTGTGTGGTGGACAGCTAGCATGTGGTCCCACATGCAGCTCTTCATTTTGTTATTAGGCCTGGCTGTATAAATGGTTGAATAAAAATCCTCCTACAGGCAGCCTTTGCCTTCTGTTTTTTTATGTTTAGGTGTGTCATGAGAGGACTGAAAATAGAGGAACTGGGAGACATCTGAGTATCATCAGCCAGGCTTACTTGTTTTTTTCCTGTCAGTTGCCAAACAGAACTAAATGTTGTCTGCTTGGGGAACATAAGAATATGTTGAACACTTTTTCGGATCCGACCAAGATGCTGGGCCTATGCACTGAATGGCTGAACATGTGCAAGAGGAGTTTGCCACTTTCAAACAATTTTCAGTTTCTTTTCTTGTACCTATCTCCAGGCCTCACTTCCTCTTTTTCTGTGCCTACAGGAGCTATTGGACTGTACAACATTGGACAGAGCTGCTGCCTGAACTCTCTGCTCCAAGTGTTCCTCATGAATATACACTTCACAGGGATACTTCGAAGGTACCACCTATTTTTGAACTATCTGACATACTTCTGTTGTTGCTCTGTTGTCTCCACTCCCTTTTTTATACGGGATGTGTATTTGAAGGCTTGGATCATCAAGGTGCTAGCAAGGTGCTTTCAGCTCACTCAGCAAGGTCTCCGCCTTGTTGTGTCTGTCTTATACAGACTAGGGCCCGCAAAGGTAGAAGTTGCAGTGTTCTGACTTGTTAGTCATCTGATTCATTTGCCATTTGCACATCGGTAAGCTGCAGTCCTGAACTGGGTGTTTATGACTTGTCTCTCTCTTTACCATAAGAGGATATGTTAAAATGTGTTAAAATTGTGGCCTTTTACTTTAGAACTGTCAGCCTGCACTGTGGGATGAGCTAGTGCAGGTGTGGCCTTCCCCTTTTTCCTTCTTTTGCTGAAAACATGCCCATTCTGGTTCCTTTTGAGTTGCTATCTGTGCTATCCACCTCTGCTCCTTCAGGTGTGATGTTTAATATTTCTCCATTGTACTGCTCGATTACCATTCATGTTGCTTCTTCTCTTTATAGGATCACAGTGCCACCATGTGCTCGGCATAAGAGTAGGAATGTCCCATACCAGATGCTCTTGCTGTTGGAGGAGATGCAGTGTGGCAAGCAGAAAGCTGTTTCTCCCATAGCCCTCGCTCGCTGTCTTTCAGTACACAGAGTGAAATGTAAGCAGCGCCACCTCGTGCCCACTTCTGTCTGCAGAGCAGGGATGTTAATTATCAAGCACTAACAAGCAGTGCAGACACTCATTCGGAGATTCAGAAGTGCGAGGAGTTAGGTACATGATGACGTAGTGCTCTTTATAGCTGCCTGCCAGTTGTGAGTGAGATGCAGTGTCTTGTGAAGGTGGTGGTGGGGAAGCCCCTGCTCGATATCCTGGCTGGTGTCCAAAGGGTGGGAAGACTATCAGACTACTAGAAGACTCAGCTACTGATACTGGCCAGAGGGAAGAGTTGTGCTGGGCAGAGAGAGGACAGCTTACAGCTTGATTTGTCTTGCTATACTGGCACGGTAATAGTGAAACAGCTGTTATTTCTTATGAGAAGGAAAGGATTGTGTAGAAAATATACTGAGTTCACCCAGATCCCCAAGGACAGAAGCAATATAGTTCCTGTTCCTTGTTATAAGGGCAGAGAAAAGAATTTGCTGGCTTAACTTCCCACCTGGACAGGGTCCCAAAGGACAGAGACTGTTAAATGCACAAGTGATCAGTGACAACGGGATGCTGAGAGTCTGTCTATGTTTACAAATATGCACGGTATATCCAAATGCCCTGATCTTTATCATATAAAAGCCAAAACAGGACAGCATTGAAAGACAGACGGTAGCCAGCCCAGACCTATATTAAGGAGGAACATGAGATAACCTGAATGTTTCTGTTTGCATCATTTTCACCCCTGAGACTGAATGACTCTGCATTCTGCCTTCTTTCTTACAATTAGAGAGAGATGCCCAAAGAGAGTTTGTAAAGCTTGACAGTTTCCCACCTTGTCCTGCTCTAAAGTTCAGGTCTGGTTCATAAAGTCCTATATCCCAGCAAGTGATGTTTTACCTGGATCACAGGTGTGCTATTAGACATGAGGAAAAGTGTATTTTCTGAGATTTATTTAGTCAGAGATGTCTGTAATCTTACTATAACCCAGCTGAAGTCAGTACCTGCAGACTTGCAGGGAAGTTGAAAGCACTTCTACCTCAGGGTGTTGGATTATTCCACAAAATTTGTTTTACTTATGGTTAAGCATAGAGATAGTCCAGAAATATCAAGATTTTGCTAAACTACGTGTAGTTTTTGCCCAGTTCCTAAATTTTGAGTTCATCATGGGCTGAGAACATCAGCATTCAAGGATGTGGATTTTTATTTTTCCCCGAGTTCAATCTTGAAGCAATTCTCTGCTGAGCCATTCTAAGCAAGCTGTGCACCAAGCTGTATCCCACCATCTTAGTTTTTTTAATATGCAAGTTTAGACAGAGTAGTAAGCCAAAGCATGATGTTACTATGTCATCCTTGGCATCCTCTGCTGAAACTGTGTGCTTGTTCCCTGGGTAGGGATCAAGGGGTTTATACCATTCTGTGGATGAGACATACGGATAAGCCTCCCTATCATTTTTATCCCAGGAGTGTTATTGCCTTAGCAAGGGGATGAGGAAGACAAGTCTGTGGAGTAACGAAGGTGAAAAGCAGAACAGAATCTTCCCTGTTTTGTTTCTAAGGAGGACTCAGATAAATGCAACCCTCAACTCAATGAGATGCCTGAGCTCTAGCCTCCAGTAGGTATCGGGTAAACTCTTGGCCCTGCGTCCAGTGACGAGGACATGATTTTTGCACTGGGTTTTACTGGGCACTCAAGCCCTCACATCTTTTCCCGTGTCCTGCTCAGGTCACACGAAGACACTGTAGCTCGTCTCCAGTCTAAGCTTAGTGTCCCTGGCAGGGAGTGGCAAGGGAACAAGAGACTGGGCTTATGGAGGACAATAAATCTCCCTTTACCATCTGTGGGAAATCTGTGCTTGATGCTGTTCATAATACTGATTGAGGCTGTGTTTTCTGTTTGTCCAGTGTTTGTGCAGCATGATGCTGCCCAGCTCTTTCTGACTGTCTGGAACTTGATAAAGAAGCAGATGAAAAAGCCAGAGCTGGTAAGTACAGTCACTGAAATGAACACCATTTCCTTTGGCCCTTGTTCTGTGTGGTTTCCTCTGCTTCTTGAAGAAGAATCCCATTCACTGATAATTGTCCTAAATGAAATTCTTAAAATTATCCCCTGTTGGGATCTTTCCTTGCATCTTTCCAATGGGAGAGGGAATCTTGATTTCATAGGCTTCAGCATTTTGAATCACAGTTAACTTTTGTTTGTCCTACTTTTAGGGCATGCTAGGGTCTCCATTCTAACGGGAAAGTTGATTAATAACAAAAAGATTGGTCTTCTTGCAACACTGAATTTAGTTACCTCGCATTCCTTTTTTCCCCAAATTTATTTAAGCATTTATTGGCATGTCTTGACACAGCTCCTCTGTTCATTGAAGTCGGCCATGTACATTTCATTATAATTAGTCACTGTTAGTATTTTATGTATATGACAGTTCCTCCCAGGGGGGAGCTGTGTAAGGTGGAAGGAAAGTGACTCTTCCTCACCCACTGTCATAGTTTTATTCATACATAAGACAGGTTCCTGCTTCAGTTTCAAAAAAAACAATAAAATTCTGTATCAAAGCAGACATTTAACTGTCTGATCTTGTTATAGGCTGTGTCTTTCCCCTCTGCTAGGGGATGAGGGGAAGGAGTTGTTCTCTTTTAAATGGTGGAAAGTGCCCTGTTCCCATAAGTCGATTTCAGATCTGGGTTCAAGCCTTAAAGCAGTAACATTGTGTGAAGTAACATGTCCACATGGGCTTTCCCACCCACAGAGGGGAGATACCTCAGCTGTGTTCATAAATCTCGTTTTGGCCATTTTTTGCGTCTCCAGGTTGAAGAGCTGAGTAATTTGTACACTATTTGTGTACAGGAGCACCTGGCCTGTCAGAAATGCTCTCTTGAAACAAAGAGGAACAGCAGCATGTTAACACTTCCGCTCCCAGTGTTGGATTCCAATTCTCACAGGCTGAAGACTCTGGTAAGTTCAGTGGCAGCACTGTTTCCTTAGGAAGAAGATTCCCCTCTGTTCACTGTGGGAGTCTTCTTGCAGCACTGGTATCTCCCGAATCTCTGCAAGAATCTCTGGACGGTGTGTGGGGCTTTGAGGTGATCTTTTCTCATTCACATTTATTCTTTATTTTGAGGTGTTCTCAATTTCTCAGAAAAACTTGCTTGATTTGGAGGATGGAAAATAAAGTCCTTGAATTACCTTTCTAAAAAGGGTATTGAATAAATACTCTGTCAGATTTAAAGACTGATATGACACAGTGATGTGTACCTGTGAGACCTTAGATACCATAGTGAGGTGCCCTAGATAACTTGTTATGCCTGACCAGACACCCTTCGTTTGCCCAGTGCAGTGTTCTTTTACTGTTAAATCAGTGCTGCTGTTTGACATCCAGATATAGCAGTGATTGTGGCTATGTAGGTGCTGCCACAAATAGACAGTGGATTTTTCAGGTCACGCTGGACCATTCGGCCTTATTTATTCTCTGACTGCTTTATATTGTTCCAGCCTAAAGGAACGTCTTTCAGAACCTCTAAGGCTTTGAAATAGTATCGTAGAACTGATAGGGTTGGAAGAGGCCTTTGCGACCATCAAGTCCAACAGTAAACCTAACAGTGCCATGTCTCACTAAATCATATTCCTAAGTGCCACATCTACCCATCTTTTAAATACTTCTAGGGATGGTGACTCAACCGCGTCCCTGGGCAGCCTGTTTCAATACTTGATAACCCTTTCAGTAAAGAAATGTTTCCTAATATCCAGTCTAAACCTCCCCTGACGCAGCCTGAGGCCATTTCCTTGTGCCCTATGGCATGTTACTTGGGAGAAGAGACTGACCCCTACCTCACTTCAACCTCCTTTAAGGTAGTTGTAGAGAGTGATAAGGTCTCCCCTCAGCCTTCTTTTCTCCGAGCTAAACAACCCCAGTTCCCTCAGCTGCTTCTCATAAGACTTGTGCTCTAGAGCCTTCACCATCTTTGTTGCTGTTGGACTCACTCCAGAATCTCAGTGTCTGTCTTGTAGTGAGGGGCCCATATTCCTAAGTGCCACATCTACCCATCTTTTAAATACTTCTAGGGATGGTGACTCAACCGCGTCCCTGGGCAGCCTGTTTCAATACTTGATAACCCTTTCAGTAAAGAAATGTTTCCTAATATCCAGTCTAAACCTCCCCTGACGCAGCCTGAGGCCATTTCCTTGTGCCCTATGGCATGTTACTTGGGAGAAGAGACTGACCCCTACCTCACTTCAACCTCCTTTAAGGTAGTTGTAGAGAGTGATAAGGTCTCCCCTCAGCCTTCTTTTCTCCGAGCTAAACAACCCCAGTTCCCTCAGCTGCTTCTCATAAGACTTGTGCTCTAGAGCCTTCACCATCTTTGTTGCTGTTGGACTCACTCCAGAATCTCAGTGTCTGTCTTGTAGTGAGGGGCCCAAAGCTGAACACAGTACTTGAGGTGTGGCCTCACCAGTGCTGAGTACAGGGGAACAATCACCTCCCTAGTCCTGCTGGCCATGCTATTTCTGATACAGGCCAGGACGCTATTGGCCTTCTTGGCCACCTGGACACATGGCTGGCTTACATTCAGCTGCCTATTGACCAATACCCCCAGGTCTTTTTTGGCTGGCCAGTTTTCCAGCCACTCTTCCCCAAGCCTGTAGCATTGCATGGGGTTGTTGTGACCCAAGTGCAGGAACTGGCACTTGTCCTTATTGACCCTCATACTATTGGCCTCAGTCCATTGATCCAGCCTATCCAAATCTTCCTGTAGAGCCTTCCGACCCTCAGGCAGATCAACACAACTTGGTGTCATCTGCAAACTTACTGAGGGTGCACTTGATCCCCTCATCCAGGTCGTTGATAAAGGTATTAAAGAGAACTGGCCCTAATCCTGAGCCCTGGGAAATGCCTCTTGTGACCAGCTGCCAATTGGCTTTAACTCCATTCCCCACAACTCTTTGGGCCTGGCCATCTAGCCAGTTTTTCACCCAGCAAAGCGTATGCACATCCAAGCCATGAGCACCCAGTTTCTCTGGGAGAATGCTGTGGGAAATGATGTTGAAGGCTTTACTAAAGTCGAGGTAAACAACAGCCACAGCCTTTCCCTCATCCACTGAGTGGGTCACCTTGTCATTAGTCAAGCAGGACCTGCCTTTCATAAACCCATGCTGACTGGGCCTGATTGCCTGGTTGTCCTGCATGTGCCGCTTAATGGTACTCAAAATGATCTGTTCCATAACCTTCCCTGGCACCCAGATCAGACTGACAGGCCTGTAGTTGCCTGGATCCTGCTTCCGGCCCTTCTTGTAGATGGGCATCACATTTGCTAGCCTCCAGTCAACTGGGACCTCCCCGGTTAGCCAGCACTGCTGATAAATGATGGAAAGTGACTTGGTGAGCACTTCTGCCAGCTCCCTCGGTACCCTTGAGGGAATCCCATCCAGCCCTATAGACTTGTGTGCATCTAAGTGGCGTAGCAGGTTGCTAACTGTTTCCCCTTGGATTATAGGGGTTTCATTCTGCTCCCCATCCCTGTCTTCCAGCCTGGGGGGCTGGGTACCCAGAGAACAAGTGGTCTTACTATTAAAGACTGAATCCAATAAAGGATGGAGATTTTCCTTAGTCCTTTTGTTGTTAATGTATTTATAGAAATGCTTTTTATTGTCTTTTACAACAAATGGTAGATTAAGTTCTAGTTGGGCTTTGCTCTTCTAATTTTCTCCCTGCATAGCCTTATGCAATTTTTGTAGTCTTCCTGAGTGGCCTGCCCTTTCTTCCATAGGCCATAAACTTTCCTTTTCTTCCTAAGTTCCAGTCAGAGATCTTGGTTTAGTCAGGCTAGTTTTCTTCCCCTCTGGCTCATCTTTCAGCATGTGGGGTCGGCCATCTCCTGTGCCCTAAAGATTTCCTTCTTGAAGAATGTCCAGCCTTCCGGGACTCCCTTGCCCTTCAGGACTGCCTTCCAAGGGACTCTGTCAACCAGTCTCCTAAACAGGTCGAAGTCTTCTCTCTGGAAGTTGAAGGTGACAGTTCTACTAATCCCCCTCCTTACTTCTCCAAGAATCAAAAGCTCTATCATTTTGTGATCACTATGCCCAAGACAGCCTGCAGCCTTCACATCCCCCACGAGTCCTTTTCTGTTTGCGATCAGCAGGTCTAGCAGGACACCTTCCCTAGTTGGCTCACTCACTAGCTGTGTAAAGAAGCTATCTTCCACACATTCCAGAAACCTCCCAGACTGTTTACTCTCTCCTGTATTGTATTTGCAGCAGACTTCTGGTACGTTGAAGTCCCTCATAAGAACAAGTGGTAGTGATCGTAAGACTTCTCCTAGCTGCTTATAGAATATATTGTCTGCCTCTTGATCTGGGTTGGGTGGTCTGTAACAGACTCCCACCATGATATCTGCCTTGTTGGTCTTTTCCCTGATTCTTACCCATAAACACTCAATGCTATCATCACTATCATTAAGTGCAAGACAATCAAAAAACCTCCCTAACATACAGGGCCACTCCACCGCCTCTCCTTCCTTGCCTATCCCTTCTGAAGAGTTTATACCCATTCAATGCAGCACTCCAGTTGTGCGTATCATCCCACCATGTTTCTGTGGTGGCGACTATATCATAGTTTTTCTGCTGCACAATGGCTTCCAGTTCCTCCTGTTTGATGCTCATGCTGCATGCACTGGTGTAGATGCACTTCAGTTGGGCCATTGATCCTGTTACCTTTTTAGAGGGAGAAGCCCTAAGTCCTACCTGGATGTTCCCAGGCGCTTGCGTGATTTCTAACTTATCAATATCCTTTGCATCTTTGCTGTCGATGACACTCCATCCCCTACCTCCACGGGGATGGCAGACCAAAGGACCTCACTAGCACTCTGTCCAACAAACATTGATGTGCTGTCTCTAGCAAACCTGTTTTTATCCCTTTCTCCCTTCCTATCTAGTTTAAAGCTCTTTCGATAAGCCCTGCCAACTCACGTGCAAAGATCCTTTTCCCCCTTTGAGACAGGTGTACCCCATCTGTTGCCTACAGGCCTGGTGTTGTATAAACTGACCCATGATCAAAAAACCTAAAGTCCTGCCAGTGACACCAGGCTCGGAGCCAGGTATTGATCTGTTAGGTCCTACTGTTTCTTCCCTCATCATTCCCTGCCACTGGAAGGACAGCGAACACTACTGGTGCTCCTGATCTCTTAATCAATGATCCCAAGGCTCTGAAGTCTCTCTTGATTGCCCTTGGACTTCTTGGTGCGGCTTCATTGCTCTGTACCTGAAAGATCAGTAATGGATAGTAATCTGTGGGCCATATCAGGGTAGGAAGCTTTCTCTTCACATCTTTAACCCGGACTCTAGGGAGGCAGCAGACTTCTGAAGGAAGCGGGTCCAGTCTGTATATTGGGCCTTATGTTCCCTTCAGAAGGGAGGCTGCTATGACAATGGTCGTAAAAGGTATAAAAGACACTTATGCATCAACATCTCTTTTGTGGAAAATGCATTACTCTATTTTTTTTCAACTAATGTAATCACAGCAGCAGCTAGGAAAAATGGGGTACCTTTTTTTTAGGCTGCTAGGCAATCTTTTGTCCTTTGAATAAAATATGCCTTCTGTAGCTTTGTTGTTTGCTTTTACCCTGTGAAACAAAGTAGAAATAGAAATCCAGCTTGAAGGAATTCAGTTGAAAGAAATCTCCTCTGTCTTCTTAGGAGGACTGTCTGCAATACTTTTTCAGTCCAGAAGAGCTGACTCATCACAACATGTGTTTCTGTGAACAGTGTGGAAGGAGAACACCTTTTCTGCAGGTAATCAGAGAGTTATTTCCCCGTATGTCTCTTATACCCAGAAGTCCCTTTAGGACTGGGAAGGGTGGGAAAAGGACTCAACCATATCAGTTTAAGCAGAGATCAACAACTCAAAGATTTGTCAGTACAGCAATGTCAGTTAGGTGTAAACCACGTGCATCTTTGCTGTTAGGAGGATCCCTACTGTAGATGTAGCTGTAGCAACAAAATAATGCTTTCATGGATTTTAATGTAAGGCACCAAAGGATGTAGCATTTCTCTACCAGTGGAAAAGCTTTTGTTGGTTTATGTTGTGTTTCCACTGTGGGGCTTTACACTGCTGCTTATCTCCAGGGGTAGACAAGAATATGTTACTGGAGCTGCGCATACACATAAAAGTAGGATACTGTAGGGTGATTTCCTTTCTTCCTGGCTCTCCACTGGGGTCCCCATTTTTTACAGTATTGGTCTCTGCCAGCCAATGAATTATCTGTTTCATGAAGAGGCAAGTGCATTGAAGAGAGAGGTATGTGAGGTAGACTGCCTCAGCTCAAGTCTTGGAGGGGACTCTCCTCAACATTTTTGCCAGTGGGCCTCCTCCGAGGCCACAGTGCATCCATATGTCTTGGTGGCAGCCATGGCACCAGCAGTAATACCAACAAAGACAGTGCTGGAAGCAGTGAACTGTCAGCTTGGCATCCTCCACGGGGCTCTGGTGGCCACATGTCACAAGGAAGTTGGCTTGCCTCTCCTCACCTACCTAGTGCTACCAACCTAGGGTTAAGAAAGCAGATGAGAAACGAAGCAGTCCATGAGACAGCCCAAGGCTGGGTGCTGAGCACACTGAAGTTGAGAAACTTGGTTATCACAGCTCCGTTACCTGTATCTGTCTCGTGTGCAGATGAGCTACAAAGGTTTGACATCTGCTGTCTGGTGGAATTGGCAGTTATTCCCTGTAGCACTGACTGCTCCCCACTCCGTTCACTGGGTGTTTCCACCCCACCTCCCCAGGGTTTGTTCCTTAGTTTCCAATTGCATTCTTTATTGCTTTACAGAGCATGAAGCTAGTCCGTCTACCACAGACTCTGACCATACACCTAAAGCGCTTCTGCTTCGAAAAATCAGCCAATGTTCAAAAGCTCAGTCACTATCTACCATTCCCACAAGACCTTGATTTCAATGCAGTCTTGACAGAAAATCAGTGCGAAGCAGACAGCGATGAAAAGGTGAGATATTCCTAATGCCCTGTTTAAAAAGGGCAGATTTGCTTTTCCCCTCTGCTCAAGTCTCGTAAAAATTAAAGAGATCACACCAGTACTTGCCTCAGTTCAAAGCACCTGTCTTAAAAAATGTATGTCTCGCGCTTTACCTTGTGCCTGGTGGTGTCTCACATCCCATGGTTTTAACTGGTTCAGGCATTGTTCAACTTTCTGTGCTGAGATTAAATCACTAAAGGCACTGTAACTGGAGCTTTCTGCCATAAGGACAAAACCCAGGCTTTACAAAAAAAACCCACCAAAACACTCCCTTTTTTCCCAAGAGTGTTTTGTATAAACTTTTTCTTCCATTTCTAAATATACTAAAGAAAAGATGAAAACACAGTTAATTTGGATGACCAAATCCAAACATTGTAAACAGTGTCTTGGAGGCAACTTCTGTCTGTCCTGTGGTTCAGCCTCCAGGGCAAGACGGCCTCAGTGAGCAGCAGACCCACTGCTTTGCAGAAGGGTCACCAATCCGAGACAGGGGAACCCCATTCCTGGCAGTTTCCCATGCGGTGTTTGCCACAGAGTCAGGATTAGCAGGGAGATGACAGCTTTGCCAAGCAGCTGAGAGTGATCTGTCACACTGTGGATCGCTTCCCCTTACTGGGAAATAACAAGGGAAAGGGTGACAATAGCAAAACATCGCTGGTGCAGTGTTGGCTGTAGTGTAACCCCTTTGCTGCCCCTTTGCTGTCCTTCTGCCCTTTTCACATTCCTGTGATCTCCAGGGAGGCTGCCAGCTCATAGCTGGTAGGCAAAACTCTGAGGGTAAGAGTAAAAAAGGCAGGTTCCTCGAGGCCAGTCTAATCTTTCTCCTTTTTCCATATGAAACACACATTCTTGATGTCTTGGCTGCTGCTTGTCTTCAGCCAATGGCAAACGAAAATTGCTTCACTGCAAGTTACCCTTTGTTGTTCTTCACAGGCTGGCTGGAAGTATGAACTTTTTGCTGTTGTTGCTCATTCAGGATCAAGTAGTTGTGGACACTACTGTGCCTATATTCGAAGTCTCACAGAACATAAATGGTATTGCTTCAACGATTCTGAGGTTTGCCAGGTGAGACAAATCTGTGTTTCTTTTGTAGCTTCCTGGACACTCCTCTGGGTTTCATTCAGTCTGATTGACTTTTGATTAAAGAGAATCATGAAAGAAAACTGAAGCTGCAGAGCTTTGTGCATCTTACTCCTCTGCTACAGTGTACTCTGAGCTGAGGGCAAAATGGCTCCAGCTTCTATACCAAACAAGGCCTCAGGTCCTGCTTTCCAATTTGCAGAAGCAGCCATTTGCTGTACCCCCTACTGTATGTACTCTAGGTCTGTTTAATATACATGTTTAGAAGAGGCAAAGCAACTGTTTTTCCTCTAAGGGTAAAAGCATTAAACCGATTTACTAAAAGGTACTTAGTTCCTGGAAATACCACTTATACCACTCTTATGAAATTGGTGTACTGGTATCACAACTTGTCCATCTCTTGAGAGAGTTTTTACCCGCCGCCTCTTGTGTGTTTTTCTTCTCCAGGTATTGTGGGATGATGTTAAATGCACCTATGGGCATTCCAACCTCCACTGGTAAGCAAACACATCTCTGTTTTTACCGAATGCTGCTCTGGGGTTTGGAATGAGAGTAGCAAAGAGAAGCAAAACAAATGGTTTGAACTGCATATTGCCTGGGATGTAAAGGGCATGCAGGAGAGTAGAAGAGGCATCCTTGTATTCTGGTTACTCCGGTGTGACTGTATATGACTATACTGGGAGCTTGCAGGATTACTGAGTAGTGGGACTGCAGAACTAGTCTTGTTATTTTTGATTGCCACGTGGACCCTATATCCAGACTAAATTAGATACGTCAGTCAGCATTCCTCCATGGTTTTTGTTTTGATGCGTCATAAGAAAATGAGCCGTGAAGAGAGAGAATCCCTCCTATAAGCTATAGCACTGCCAGGAGGTCAGCGTTGTATGCTGCGTCGGGAACTGGAGAGGGCAAGTTCAGTTGACCCTAAACCTCAAAAAGCTGAGCAGGAGCAAAACTGAGAGGTTTCTTGCAACCTAGATCTTCAAACATACATGTTCTTTTGTTTTCTATTTGCTTCCACAGGGGAGAAACTGCCTATCTCTTGGTTTACATGAAAAAACGTCCTCAGTAGCCTTATACAGGAGTATCAGAATGTCTTGGGAAGCTGTGAGTTATCCATGGAACTCAGCACCTCTGTGCCAGTGTGGACGTGTACAAATGTTCCACAAGACATTCTGCGCTCACTCAGCAACCTCTGCCTTCGCGTTTATTTATGAAAAAAGTGCAGGAGAGAAACAGCTAGAGAAAGAATGTAGAAACTCTTTCTGTCATATATTTTTGGTATTTATTTGATTCTATATATAATTTCCTCTTAAAAGATTGTAAAGTTAGTGCCTGTCTCTGCTGGCTTACCAGTTTCTTTAATATTGATGCCTAGAGTTCAGTACAGGGGAAGCATTTGGCCTGAAAGCCTGCGTGGTGTTCCAGGGAGGCACATGGTATGGCTGGAGAGCTGTGATAGCCATACCTGGCCAGTAAGACCGTAAGAGCTTGAGGCCTGCTCTGCCCTTTTAGCGTCGTTTTAGATGTTGCAAGCTGGGCAGGGGACCCCAAAAGTCTTGAGAAACAGCTGGAACAAGGACCAGAACTCTTATGACGCATGCACCAGTCATGCTTACTCCTTAACCCCTTCCTGAAAATGAATCACTGCAGGGCTCGAGATGTGTTTGAAAGTTGGTGTCAGTGTAAAGAGGCGTTTTAAAATCAGTAGTTCTGATTTACAAGATGAGTTTGTATATATTTATGCAGATGATTATTGTTTTCGCACGCTTGTCTAGCATTTATGTGCATTTTCTTTCCTGTAGAGAGGAAAAAATTCAGAGTTAGAGAGATTCTGATTTTGCACAATGTAATCCATGCACTGTGATAAGAGGAGAAGTGAGATGCCTTGATGTACTTGAACTTCTGGGATTTTCTTTTAGTACTTTTCAGCTGGTTGCCAGCTGGAATTGTCTTGCTCTCTCCCTTCCTTCTCTGCCCATGAAGTGGAAGTGTCCCTCGAGCAGAGAGTGGTCTGGTGAGAACAATTTTATAAAGAAAGTGAGTAATTTTTAAATCTCCTATTGAGTCCTGTCACTCTGTGCTGTTGTTTCAGCCTGTGCTCCCATGGCAAGGACACACAGCTGGAGGAACAGAGAGAGCAAGAAAGGAAGGTTGGTAACATGACAATCAGAGGAGTGTTCTAAAAGCTCATCACAAGACTCGGCTGTGAGGAAAGTTAAAAACTTTCCTCACCCTGTTAAAACCATTTAAAAATATCACTGGTTGTGATGCTTTTAAAGCAGTCATTGTGGTAATTCCAGATGTACCACAGTGTGTGACAGGATCAGTGATTCCAGTTGTTTGAGATCTAAAAGTACCTTTAGCCCAACATATTCTTTGACTGTATACTTACAAGGGTGCTATTTTTGTAGGACTGAGCTATATATAACATAATTTTATTTTGTTCATGATGATGACATTCCCAAATCATGTCTGTTTTCTGTTGGTATGTGGAAGGTGAATTGAGAATCTTGGAGCATAGCTGTGAAATTACATTTTTGATGAACAATCAGATTTTTATTTCACTGTACTAGCAAGGTCCATTATTCTATTCAACTCTCATATTTATACTGTTCACTCTGTGTTAAAAAAAAATCCCAGTGTATCGTTTGTCACCAGGATGAGGAATTTTCAGCCTATTCGCCTTCGGGAATGCGTTACGCTCTTTCTAAAACACCTTGCGATGGGTGAGTAAGAAAACCATGTTCCTGTCTGCTTTATCCAGCACTTTGCGTATGTGAAGTAGGTGAAAGACAGTGCCCTTCAGAAACTGAGACATTAAGGGGTTAAGAGACTGACAAGATATTTCTCATTTGATATAACCTGAAATTTAAAAACAAGCTATGCTTATGAAAAATGCCTCAAATGTGTCCTAACCTTCCAGGTGTATCACCCACCATGGAAGCAATTGCTGAGATATAGTAAGAATCTTTGCAGTGAGTATCTCAATGAAAAGTAATCAATATGTTGTGGTTTTTTGTTTTTTGGTTTTTGGGTTTTTTTTAATAAAACAGTATGGGTTGAATTACCTAGAAAAAAAGTCTTGGGAATTATTGTCGGTGTGTTTTTTCTAAAGACCATAAATGCAGGGGGGAGGCTACAGGCCACGTGCACAGAGGTTGTATGCTCAAATTAAGTATTCAGGCTGGAGATACTGCTAATCTTTAGCTCCAACAGCTGAGGAAACGAGGCTAAACCTTGCCTGGGCACTTCGCCCTCGTGCTGGAGACACAATGGGCTTATTGTCAGGCTTGCTGTCATGCAGAAGCGTGTATTTCTTCCAGATCCAGATGGGCCATGGGAGGAATGGGAGGTTTTCAAACCGCGTTGCGTATAGATTAAAAAACTCTGCCCGATCTGAGCTGCTTTTGCAAAAAGTCACCTTGGCTGCCTCTGCGTTCACAGCAAAGTTCGGTTGTATGCTGGAGAAACTGCCCAAGGACAACTTTTATCTCAGCGCAGGGGATTCAGCGCTCGTGTATTGGCACACGGTTGTAACATGGAGACCAGTTATAACGCAGAGTCTGCCTCACCCAGGCGCTGGCTACAGGAAAGCACCGCTTGGATTTCTGCCAGAAAAAAATTTTCCACCATAGATCCACCGCAAAGGAGTCGGGATTATTTGTCCTGTGTTTGAGCCACTGTGCAAATGAAGCCTAGCATGGGTAGCAAGGGCTTTGAAAAGCCAGATAAAGCCAGGAGTATGCATGTGGAGAGATTATTTTAGATCCTGGTAATTCTTCCTTTCTGTTTTTTCCTTGTTTTGGGATTACCATGTCTTCAGGGAAGGAGCAGTAGCAAAATACACATTCTCTGCTTCATCTCTGACAGACTCCTCAAATTCAGATATTCCCCACCTTCAAGAAACACATAGAAAAAAAGTAAAGATATATAATATATATAATAAATATATGTATCACTCATGTAATCTCTAAAATTTCAATATGTTGTAAATCCCAAAATTATACATAAAAGTGAAAGAGGGAGCATTTTTTGGTACTTTACTTCCAGTATCATTTTAATTTACAAGAGTCCCTTATCAACTAGTTATTGATATTTACACAAAAATGCTGCACATGAGATCTGCATTTAAAAAAGACCTTCAAAAAAGGACCTGTTCTAATACGGATTAAAAAACATGGGGGGAATAAGACTGTAGTTACTCTAAACTACAGTGAAATGTGTAAATCATATTAGGACTTAGCATTGCTGGTAATTTTAATAATAATGCCTTTATTGTGATCCACAAAATTATCAGTAATCTGTTGTGTCTGATAGATTCCAACGGCGAATCCTGTGATGATATTCCTGCAGGGGGAACAGAGGTAGTTTTGAGTCATCAAAGGAATCTTCTTCCAACAGGTTTAACCTTTGCTAAGCAGATTCTGTCACCGGCGGTTGCTGCCTTTTTTTGGCCCTGGGGACAGCTTTGGTTTTTGCCCTCCTGGAAGGCCCTTCGCTGGCCCCCGGCGTTTCCTACAGCACTGCCTTTTGGGCAGCTTTGTCTTACTGGTCTCCTGTCCTTAAAGCCAACTTTCTGGTCCTGTCCTGACTGAGGCCATACTTCTGCCAGGGAAATTTTGGCGATGTTGAGCCAGGATCGGCTTTGCCAGTAACATCCATGCTGGTATTTCTTCTGAGAACACAGCTTGGGCTTGAAGCTGTGAGTGGGGAGCAGAGCTTTCCTAACCAGTGCAAACAGAAACCTCAGACAACATTTCGAAAGTATTTTATGAAGCAATTAGTTTTTAGAAGAGAGCTATTTAGGTCTGACTCCATGCTGTTTCCCACGTGGCTGGCTTGTATTTTACCAGCTTCGAGCTGACAGGCTCAGCGCTGTTTGCACCTACCTGTGGAAATGTGCCCAGGAGTCACCAGCGCTTCAGGGAGCTTGACAGAGAAAAAAAAAACACATTCTGACGTGTATGAAGTCAAGAAGCTGGATGAGAAATGCTTCTGAGCTAAATCTACCTGAATTGCAAAAAAAAAAAAAAAAAAAAAAAAAAGTTGCAAGTGCTGCAAAAAACTGAACAAAGACTTAAAAGTAAAGGCAAGGTGAATGAAGACCTTCACACAGGCTTAAGGTTGGGTGCTCTGAGCTAATGACTGTTTTCCTAAAATAGACTAATGACTGAAATTTCAGCAGCCAGTGGGATGCAGTTTGATTCAGTATCAAAATGTGTTTTGATGGCTGGAGCAGCGAGTGGGATAACCCTCTCCATGTCTGCCTTTGTGATGGGCAGAGCAGCAGTCGAGGAACTGTGAGAGTCCCTCTCATTAGGGAGGCAGCTACACGTCACTGAGGGACAGAGGACATGACATCTGGACTGGAGAGCTGGCCTGTTGTTAATCTACATTAGTTTCTGCAATGAGCTGAAGTGAATTTCTTGGTTGCAGACAAGCTGTACAGGTACCTCAGCAGTCACCGTGACCAGGGCATCAGGTGGATTGATGATGCAGAGAGCTGTGGTCATCATATCTTTCCTCTAGGTAACCCATTTTTCTCATGGATAAGGAGAAAAACCACATAAGTGCATCAAATCTCCACATAGCAGCACTGAGCAGCATAACTGCTGGTTAAACCTTGCTTTCATTGCAGAATTCAGGCAGAAGAGGACTGATCTCTTTGACCTCAGAAATAAAATCAAAAGGGTTCTCCTCTGGTTTGTCCTAAAGCTGCAGTGATCTGCACACCTCAGTTAAAACCTTCGGACGTGAGGTTGAGGTGGCCAAAGCCAGCTCTGGCTCTCGCTGCAGGGGGAAAGGCCAGGCCGTAGGATGGCGCAGCAAGGTCTGCAGCGTCGAGCCGTGTGGGGAAGGTCTGGCTGCAGCCAAGGGCGGCTGCTGCTGGTTGGGATGGGTGTGAGCAACAACGTGAGGATACAAGAGGAAAACTACCTGAAGTGAAAAAGTAGAATATCCTGAAAGAAACCTGGTGCTGGAGGACAGGAGTTTGGTACCACTGGGGACCTGTTGTAGGAAGCATCAATGATGGACCCTTGGCCACCTGATTGATTTCCTGCTGGCCCGTGGGGGCTCTTTGGGTGTCAGCCCTGGGAGTGCCAAGCGTGCCCATGCTCAGCCTCTGGGTTTTTGTTGACTTTTATCTGCGTTAATTTGAAACCAACAGGTTTATGCTTTCAGGTTGAGTATATTCTGCGTGCAGAGTCTGCACGCAGTAAAAAGTGCCTGAACGAAGTGACCTGCCCCGGGTCGCTGGGCGTTTTCACACCCTGCCTGTTGGAACGCGGTGCTACCCTGGGGCTGGTTTTGCCTGTAACAGGCAAAGAAACGACAGGGAAGGAAAAGTTCATTAATGGCTGGATAAACAATAAATGCTTACCACTCGTATCTTTAAAATGAGTTCTTGCAAAATTTTGGGCAGGGCTCTGAAAGCAGGTAGCATGCCAGATCCTTCAGGCAGGACGCAGGAGCCTCCAGGCTGGGGTCAAACCCACTCTACGTCAAAACGAGAGGTTTGGGATTTTCCAGAATAGGCTGCTATTCCTACTGAGGCTTCTACAACTGTTACTCAGTTTATGCAGAAGAAGTTTTTTAGTTGTGAATGGTAAAAAACCTAATGTAGGACAGCATGCAAACAGAAAAGGCCATAAAGTAACACTAGCACAGCGTCAAGGGACAAGACACCTAAACCTGTTTGGCTTCTGAAAAGTTGGTAAGTAGAGAAAATTACACAGTGGCTGCTCCAGGAAACACAAATGTGCCATGGCGTCCCATTAGGGATCATTGGTCTCGCAGATAAAGCAGTTTTGATTTTGAAGAGTCACGCCAAGTTTGCACGGTGGATCAAAGGCAAAGCTTTGTTTATTTCTCAGCTCCTCTCTCAAGTGGGGGAACCCTTCCTTAAGAAGGACTGTGTTGTCCCTGTGTCCTGCAGCTGGGAGCACGAGCCTGGTGGGCTGCAACGGGGGCGGCAGAGGGGATATGTATAATATGGGTGCCTGGTGCTGTGGGGATCATAGAATCAGGGAATACCAGGTTGGAAGGGACCTCAAGGATCATCTGGTCCAGCCTCTCTTGGCAAAAGCACGGTCTAGACCAGATGGCCCAGCAGCCTGTCCAGCTGAATCTTAAAAGTGTCCAATGTCGGGGAATCCACCGCTTCGCTGGAGAGATTGTTCCAATGGGTGATGGTTCTCATTGTGCAAAACTTTCCTCTTGTGTCCAGTGATGGATGGGATGAAGCAGTATTGGGAAATTTTGTAACAATGATCCCTTCTCTGGCCGGAACTGTGCCTCCTCCTGAGACAAACAGCTTTGTGGCTTCTGGTGATGTATCCAGGAGCAAGCAGGTGAGGTGAGAAATGGTTCTTGGGGTGTGCACAAACTGCCCAAATACCACTTTTCTTGCAGAAAAGCAGAGACTGTGAAGTACACAAAAAGCCGCAACCTCGATCAATGCAGTATGTGTAACTGGCATGACGAGCTCACTCAACAAATTCGTGTGAGGAACTCACAATCAGTTTTTAAATTCTTCAAAGGGTGAGGTAAGGGCAAAATCGCTGCCTTCTCTAGCTTATTACAGCACTTCTGCCCATATTTTCCTTGTCCTCAGCCAGTCAGCAGGCAGGAGGGAGGGGCAAAGCCTAGTTAAAAACTTTTGCAAGGGGCTGCGGCTTCTTGCCTGCGGCGGCTGGAAGGGCACCACACATGGCCACCTACCTGGAGCTGCCCACCTGTGCGAGGATGCCCATCCTGGGACTGGGGACCTGGCAGGTACCTGATGGGGACCTCTCCTCATCCCCATGCCTCTGGTCGTGCAGGTGACACCAGGAAATTGCTGAGAATCACGGTAGACTTTTACAGCAATCTCCTCTTCAGGTCAGGAAAATGCAGCAAATGCCCTGTGCGGCATTTCTTGCCTTTTGAAATACTTCAGGTAATCCAGGTATTTATGCCTGTCCTTCAGGAATTTTTTAAAATGAGCAGGTAGGGGTCACTTAGTGCAGGTAGTGAGCAGGTGGAAGGAGATTTTTCTTAGCTGTGGAAAAAAATTACGTACTACAAAAGTAAAACACTTCTGCCTAGCTTGTTTCTCTTTTCTTTTTTTTTTTTTTTTTTTTTTTTTTTTTTTGCTTTTGGCACTGGGTATTAATATCCCAGCATGTCATGCAGATGTCATCTTTGATGAGCACATGTAGATGCAGGAACTTAAGTGGCAATGAGTGGATTTGGAAATGGGAATTTACATTAACTCCTTAGACCCTGAGGATAACTTATTTTTATGGCAGCAGATGAGTACGCAGCGCTTTGCAGGAAAATAGTTTGGGTAGTTGTTTACCTGCAAATGTTACCTAATGGACTTTTGGTAAGAGAGAAGAATTAAGGATACACTGAATTATAAATGTAAAAGGGGTCTGGAAATGAACTGAAAATTTTAAGAAAGTGAGCTGCTTAAGAAAGGGAAAAAAAAAAAAAAAAAAAAAAAAGGATTTTCCCCTGGATTTCAGACTGGAAACTAAATATGTTGAATTGCAAGCTGCCAACTCTATGAAACACTGTCCAGTTAGCATAAAAGTATCTTGAATTATTCTTGCTATATTTTTGGGTCAGCTGCTGCTCATCATCACAGAACTTAGGCACGAATGGGGCTGAGTTTGTTTAACCCTTTCAGTCCTGATTGGTCTGATGACAAAAGACACTAAGAAACCTAAAGTAACTACGTAGGCTTTAAAAAAACAAAGCGTGCCTTGTGTGGGGCCTCTTAGGGCACTGAGGCTGTGACGGATGAGCTCTCTGAAGGAACCTGTTTAGGATGCTAAGAAGAACCAGTTAGGACTAAACAAAAGTAAAATTTTGGACACTTGATCCCTGGCACCACAAAAATCTCTTGTGTTAATGCAATGAAAACATGGCCCAAACTCACTGTGATTACTTAATCAGAGCTATTTGATTGCAAGGTTCCCACAGGAACTTCAGCTGCGACTCCCTGAGTTTTGGTGTGGCAACGGGGCCTCTCCTTTACCCAGTCACTCTGACTTCAGGAACTTGAAGTCCTGTTCAGTGAGCACTATGTAAAACGAAGCGATGGATTACTTTTTCTGAAAAACATCTCATGTTACAGAGTTTTGTGCAGTTGCAGGATATAAGTGCAAGGTCCTGCACGTGAGCCAGGGCAATCTCAAGCACAAATGCAGGCTGGGCAGAGAATGGATTGAGAGCAGCCCTGAGGAGAAGGACTTGGGGGTGTTGGTGGATGAGAAGCTCAGCAGAGCCAGCAACGTGTGCTTGCAGCCCAGAAGGCCAACGGCATCCTGGGCTGCATCAAAAGAAGCATGGCCAGCAGATCGAGGGAGGTGATTCTGCTCCTCTACTCCGCTCTGGTGAGACCCCACCTGGAGTACTGCATCCAGCTCTGGGGCCCTCAATGTAGGAAAGACGTGGACCTGTTGGAGCAGGTCCAGAGGAGGGCCACAAAGATGATCAGAGGGCTGCAGCACCTCTCCTATGAAGACAAGCTGAGAGAGTTGGGGTTGTTCAGCCTGGAGAAGAGAAGGCTCCAGGGAGACTTTATAGCAGCCTTCCAGTACTTAAAGGGGGCCTACAGGAGAGACAGAGAGGGACTTTTTATCAGGGAGCATAGGGATAGGACCGAGGGCTAATGGTTTTAAACTGAAAGAGGGTAGATTTAGATTAGATATTAGGAAGAAATTCTTTACTGTGAGGGCGGTGAGATACTGGAACAGGCTGCCCAGAGAAGTTGTGGATGCCCCATCCCTGGAAGCGTTCAAGGCCAGGCTGGATGGGGCTTTGAGCAACCTGGTCTAGTGGGAGGTGTCCCTGCCCATGGCAGGGTAGTTGAAACTAGGTGATCTTTGAGGTCCCTTCCAACCCAAATAATTCTATGATTCTATATTGTCACTTTTGCTCTCCACTGACTCCTCCATTCAAAAGCGATGTTGATCGCTCCTGCACAGCAGGTTTCCCCGTGCTGCAGCACCCACAGATAAGGCCCAGCATTTGGCCAGTGTCACCGTTAGCCTGCTTTCCCATGCTGCCGTACAAGCTGCAGCGTTCGTACGTAGGAAGGGGGTGGGATGGGAAAAGGGGCTGCAAAAAGGAAAACTTGTAAAACTTTAAACTGGCTGTTTGGTTGTGTGTAGCCTTGTGGAAAAAAACACTGCAGTTTTTATGTTTTGTTTTGTTTTGTTTTGTTTTTAAACGTAGGCGAACCAACCAAGCAGCCTTCGATTGGAAATACTTGGAAAAGTGAAATCATTACAAAAAAAAAAGATGATGGGTGGGCATGTAGTGAAGTTAAATGTAGGAGGCGGTTGCGGTTTTGCATCATGTTTCTGTTTGAAGTCCCATTTTCCAGAATAGCTATCCAGTCATCAAACAACTCTTCAGTGTCTCCAAGCCAAGAATCTGAAGTGATTTACTTTGCTATTAAATTCCAGGTTGTGTATTTTACCCAGGAGGTGGCACTGTCTGTAGTGTTTTGCCGTCCTCTCATCTCCCTTGTCCTGTCAACAAAAGCTGGCTTGTTTGTATGCAGGGCCAGCCAGCTTTCAAGAGGTGATTCATTTCCTCATGTCGCCAGTATCTCGCACAAAAATTGCTCTTAATTTTTGGGCAAATTAGAAATTATTTCGAGTGTCCGAATGTGAGTGTTCCATCCTTAGAGAAGGGCAGATCAGTTCAGGCAACACATCAGTGACTCCCATGGCCGTTTTATTCCAGAAAAGTAATGAAAGCAAGATCCAGACTGGAACACTTCATCATTTGGGGGCTTAAAGTCTCCAGATTTGGAGAAGAGCAAACTTCTTTTTCTGCTATTTAAGGAATTACTGTCTTTCCTTCTTGTTTCAGTCTCTCCAAGAAACAGCAAGAGATGCAGTGAAGTTTGCCATTGATGTTGGGTACTGCCACTTTGATTGTGCCTACTTGTACCAGAACGAGAGTGAGATCGGGGATGCACTACGAGAAAAAATTGAGGAAGGGGTTGTGAGGCGCGAAGACCTCTTTATTGTCAGTAAGGTATGTCCTTGGATAACTTGTCTCACACGAGGCCAGCTCTCAGGAGGAGGGACAAGGTCCCAACCCGCAAAGTGCCAGGGAATGAAGCTGGTCTGGGAATTAACTCCTCTCTGTCAGGGCAAAGAGTTTTGCAGATGGAGGGAAGGAAGAGGTCAACTCTTGAAAAGAAGAAAAAAAAGAAAAAAGCTTAATTTGAGAGGGCTTTTTTTTGTAGTTTGTATCCATTGTCAGCCATGGAGACAGGAACTGAGGCCGTGCTCTAAGTTGCCTCTGAGATAGGAAGCAGGGCTATTGTATTCGTGGTCACTCCCGCTGTGCTGCCGGCCTCAGCCTGTTAACTCCTGTATGTTATGTTTTGTTTTGTTTTTTCCCCTAAAAACAATGGTAGGAAAAATAAAGTAACTTCTATCTGCTGGAAGCTGGCAGGTCGATTTTGGCCAGTTTTTCTTTTTTTCTTCATTTTGTTTAATTGCTGTATGAATCGTTGGCATTTTAGAGTATCTCATTCTCATTTTATTTAACTGACAGTACCGCACATAAAATAAGGTGCACAAAAGTGGCACTTCCTCAAGACGAGAAGATGTGCCGTACCGTGAGCTGCCTCTGTGTCTGCATCGTGTGTTTCCCTGCCAGGGATGCTCTGCGGTCGTGAGGATAGGAGAGCAGCTCCAAGGCTTTGTGTTACCCCCGTAGCTGTGGTCCACCTTCCATGAGAGATCCCTGGTGAAGGAGGCATGCCACAAAACACTTGGCGCCCTCCAACTGGGTGATTTGGATCTCTACCTGATGCACTGGCCCATGGGATTCAAGGTATTGAGCCTTTTAACGCCTGGGAGCCATCTGTCAGAGCTCTGCCACTTTTTCCTTTGGGACCAGACATGCCCTTAGTCCTCTCTAATGAGCAGTGTTGTTAAACCTCATTAGAACGTAATGACGAACCTCCACACGGAGTGCCCAGGAGGAAAGGTAAGGTCATGGCTGCTTAATCTAGGTCTTGCAGTACAAAAATCACCTTATTTTACCCTGCACAGCATGTCCACATTAGGTATCAAATTACCATCCAGATCACATTCCTCTTAAAGCCTGGGATTTGGCAGTCGTTTGCTTATCCGGGATCAAACAGTTGTGAATTACTTAGTTCCTATTTTTCTCTTCTCTCTCTACCCCCAGGTTAAATAAATCCTCATTTCCCCATCGTGTCACATCCCTGGCCTTCCCCCAACCTGACTGAGGCACACACAAGTGTCTGCCCTTCCTCTGCCTACAGGACAGATTCTCAGGAGGCAGATTTTCTTGAAGATTACTTTGTTCATACATATTACTGGTTTTGGCCACCTCTGTACCCAACACAAACATAAGCCAGGATATCCAGCATGTCTCCAGCTCCACTTGCTTGCAGAATTTCTAAGTGATTTCTTTAACTACTTATGATTCGGCCCACCTTAAACTTGCATTTCTTTTTTGATGATAGGCAGGAGAGGAACTATTTCCTGCAGATGGAAATGGCATGGTCATTCCCAGCGATACCGATTTTCTGGATACATGGGAGGTATGTTCATGGACAGGCCAAAAAATTATTGCTAGTTTGAAATAACAGCCTGAAATCTTTAAGGTTTCCACTTTGGGAATTGCCGTGAGAGAGCTTCTGATGTGAAGTATTCCAGATTGCCGATTTCTCTGTGTCCTTGGGCTCTTTCTTGTGTTACTTTGCCAAAATGGAGGTATGTTTTATGTCTGCTGCTTACTAAACCGTCTGGGTGGACATGGCAAGAGGAAATCTTTGACTGTGTGCGTACCTTGCAGTGGCTTGAGCTGACATATGCCGTCGCTTAGTCCCCACACCACACTCTGAGCGTTTATCAGTGGCTGTACTCTAGCCACGCTCATCCCTAGTTGCACCAGAGCTGTCCAGACCACAGCAAAGCCTGTGCCAATGCCAATGTACCCAGAGCATTCAATTTTCCCCCCTCTCTAGAAAGCACTGGAACTTGCCCAAAGTCCTTCACTATAGCTGTGCGTGCAACGCAAACCGGCATGAGCACAGGCTGCATGGGAGTCAAGACTTGGGTGCAAGTTCAAATTTCTGCTTGGCTGATGGTTTGGGCTATCCTTTCCCCTCCACCCCCACTGTGTGCCTGGCACGGACAGGTCGAAAGAAGACAGGAGACTCACCAGAGACAGAAGAATTCACTGATACTTTTTTCCTTCTCTCAGATGAAGAATAAAGCACATTTTTGTTGCTCATTTGAAGGAAAAAAGAGGATCCCGGCCATGGCGATTTTTTACCACTGAAGTCTGTGCGCGCACATTTTTTCCATACGAAAAAAAGAAGATCTTAATTCAATAGCAAGTCTGATTCTGTAGTATCTCTAGGCTATGGAAGAGCTGGTGGATGCAGGAATGGTGAAGGCCATTGGAGTCTCCAACTTCAACCGCAAGCAGATAGAGAGGCTCCTGAGCAAACCAGGCTTAAGATGCAAACCTGCAAATAATCAGGTAAATTGTTCTCAAACTCATCAGTAGTGACATCACATCTCTCTGGGGTGTTGCATTTGATGGAACATCCCTGTCAAGGCTATGCTTTTGATACCTGTGTGACAATACACCTGCGTTTCGCCAAATCATACAGTAATGAAGGATGCCGAATGCTCTGTGCCCTTCCTTGCCCAGGAAGCTGCAGTCACACGAGCCCGCGGCGCTCCTGGGTTGAAGGTGCAACCTTCACCTTTCTTCTGACTGAGCACTGAGCTCGTGCAGGCTGAGAGCTGAGCTCTGCCAAGGAGAACACAGCAGGGCTTGGACTTCTCCTTTTCTACAGCCCCCAAGGAAAAGGAGGCTGCGTGAATAGATAGGACCAGAGGTGGGCTACACTGCTGGGGTGAATAGGTAGGACTGGATGACTCGAGAGTTGGGTGGTTCAACTGGATGTGCACAACTGGACCGTGGAGCCTATTGATCCGGGGACTGTGAGAGGCCATGCAAAATGAGGCAGGCAGCTGGAAAGAGAAACTAATGTGTGAAGATTGGGCCTTGTTGAAGGCAGGGTTGGGAAGAAGGGGAAATGATCTGACTCTCTTAAAAAACCCCTAGATGCAAAAAGAATCACCTCTTCAAAGCTGATGTGGGGCTTGGCAAGTCACCATAGTGATGCTAAACCTTGAAGTACCTTCTGATTCTGAAGAAACCTACTATTATTTTTTTTTTTTTTTGTAGATTGGGAGCCGCCCCTACCTTCCTTAGGAAGAGCTGATTAAGTATTGCCAATCCAAAGGGATCTCTGTCACTGCATATTGTCCCCTTGGAGCGCCCAACTGGCCATGGTAAGAATGCATTGTGAGACTTCTTTCTTAGATGTAGATTGGAGCCAATACAGTAAACCAATCTTAGGATGTGGATAACCCCTCTCAGAGTAAAACTGATGTAATTAGAAAAATATTTACTAATTTGTTTAAAAACTATACACACAGAGAAACCTCTCACACTTAGCGTGATATTCAGTCCACTAATTCATACCTGTGCTGTTACTGGAGTTTCATATTTAGGAGAAAAAGGATCAATTGCTTTGTGAAAGTAGTGAAGATAATTCTTAATTGAGCTTGGGTGAGCTTATTAAACATATAAAAAGAACTTCTGAAATAAAAAAAAAAAAAACACCTTCAACCGAAGCAGCACATGCTTGTGAAAATAGCAACTTTGTTTAAATGGATGACTTGAAGAAATTGTGCTTTTACTCCAGTCTTTATGGCTTTCTCCAACCTGGGACAGGGCATTTGCCAGAGCAGTGGTGCCTGTGAAGGACGTGACAGCTGCCTGTTCTTAAGATAAAAATTTCAGGATCTGGACCAAGAAATTCCTGGCCTGATCCCAGGCTGGATTGAAATGTGTTACAGTGATCTGTTATACTGGAAACTACAGGCTTCTTCTCATGTGCCAACCTGCGATAAAAGGAAAAGCATGAAGGCAGGGACTGGAGCTACGAGAAGATAGTGAATTAAAATGTGCAAGATGATGCTTTCTTATCATTTAAATAATATTCTTACAGTACAGTGCCGGAGGGAGAAGACAGTGGGCCATTCAGCTGCTGAAGTCTGCTTTTTATTTTCACAGGTCCAAGCCTGAGGATATTTCTCTTTTTGATGATCCCCAAATTAAGGAAATTGCACTCAAGTACAACAAAACCCCAGCTCAGGTTAATACTGGTCATAGTGTTTTCCCTGCTGACATGTATTTTTCCCCACTTGTGCTAAAGTAACTACTTACAGAGGTATTATAGAAAGCTGAGTTCCAGCTGTGTCTCATACACATTGTAATGCTTTAAAAAATATTACCTCTAACATTAGTTAATTAACTAATTAATTAATAATTAACATTTTAATGACGGACAGAAGATTACCAATGGCTTTGGGCTTTAATTGGCACACTAGCCACTGTGCCGGGCCAATCCTCAACTCTTATTCAACACTCTCCCATGCTGTCATCTCAACTTCAGAGACAGATAGTGATTAAACGAGCTCATGTAATAATTAGGAAGGGTTTATGATAGTGTGTTTCCTTTGTGAACCATCTCTGATTATCAGTAGAGCTGTTCCATGTAGGCACGTATGGTTTTTGACTTTCAGAAGACAGGCAGAACTTCTCACCTGTAATTCCCAGTCTGTTCCTGCAGGTGCTTATCCGGTTCCAGATTCAAAGAAATGTGAGTGTAATTCCCAAATCTGTCACTCCACACCATATTGTGGAAAATTTTAAGGTAAGAGGGTACTTCACAGAATTATTAATGGTGTTAAAGTTTACACAGAAAAATCCACTCTGCCAGTGGAACAAAGTACCCCCTTCATACTCAGAACTGGCAAAACTTTTTGTCTGTCAGGTACCATGTAGGTTACTTCTTTATGAATGCAAAAAGTTACTTTAAAAGTAAGGAGCCAAGTCTCCTTCATTAAAACACATCAAGTAAGAGAGAGTAACTTTGCCCCCTTGGGATATAGATATGATGCAATTAGACCCCACCAGCACTGTAACTTTATGACAATTACTCATTGTTCACCACAGATGTACATCTATTGCACACTTCCTAGTGCTTCAACAGATACAAGGCTTTTCTACTTCTGTTTTTGGTAGTCTTTCTGCAAATGAACTTACACTTGTCTTTTTGCAAACCGAAGTAACCCAGCTGTTTTTGGACCTTTATTCAGGTGTTTGACTTTGAACTGGCTAAAGAAGAGATGGAAACCTTCCTTGCTTTCAAGAAGCGGTATCGCAGCTGTGCATTAAGCGAGTGAGTTCCTCCTCCTCTTCCATGTTTTAGCAAGACTGGGTCATCACTGGACAGTATGCGATAGCCCCACTTAAAAATAAAGATAGGGAACCTTAGCCAATACCTGATCACATCCGTATCTGCTGGCATCCAGCACTAGGGTTTATTAGAGGATTGCCCATCTTGAACAGGTTGGTAGCATTGGGATTTTTCCAGGTACGGTGTGTGTTAAGGTATCGTGTAACGCATGCATACCAAACTGCTATCTGAAAATCAAAATTGGCTGGAAACTCCAAAATAAATAGGCGGCTTCCCCCCCCCCCCCCCCCCTCTGTTTTCTTTGGCTACTTTATATAAGAGACAGTCAGTGTAAATAAACTCAATTTTAAGAATGAGAGTTGTAAGGTTTTTTGAAGTGAAAAGCTGTGCCTACATATTTAAGGCAGCATCTGGGCAGTAGAATGCTTAGACACAGACTTACCAAGATTTGCAATTTATCCCGTTTTCCCAGGTTATCCACTTACCTAATAGCATACTGTGGACGTAGGAGTTCACAAGAGAGTGGTCTAATATTGCAGGAAGTTTGGTGATTTCAGCTAAGCAAAAGATACATTATCTTCTGAGAACAAGGTCACTGGTATACGCAAAGGTTACACAGTGTTAACTTCCACTGTCCTGTGTAAACGAAGCAGGTTCATCTTAGTGTTTTTGCTGTAGTTCACAGTTTTTGTTCTGCAGACCTTTTGTCAAGAGAAAAAAGCTTTTTCTTCTTCGCTTTAAGACTATATCCTGAAAGTGTTTTGATCATACTTTCTTTTTCTAGATGCAAAAATCACAAGGACTATCCTTTTATGGAAGACTAACATAGGCACCATCTTCAGATCCTCCAGGGATCAGGGCCATATATCATTGTTTTGCGCAATTTGTAATTCTTAATGTGTATTAAATCACAATATAAGTGGAGTATGTATTACAAGATGAGAGAAGGTAGCTCACAGACATTCTGAAGAGTAATCTTTGAGCGTGCGTGTGTTTGCTTCCCTTATTAGCAACCATAGTTATATCAGTCCTTTATCCGTGTCTTGGCTCTGCTCTTGTTGTAGCAAAATGTATATTCTCTTATCATTTAATAATGATAGTTAAAGAAGCTTAATAAACCTGAATCTTTGGGATTTGTGAAAAGCAGTCTTCATCATAAATATAAATCCTGACAAATTTTATGAGAAATTTAAATTCTCCTAGTGTTGTATTTTTGGACAACAGGTCAAAACATATGCTATCTTTTAGTTATTAATATAAGACAACATTCAACATCAGATCTTTATGAGATAAGACAATACACTGCTTGAGATTCTTGGTTCAGTAACATCAGTGTAACAGACCGAAAGCTCTTTGGAGGACACTGCTGAATTATGTTTCAGGAGCCCTTTTCTTAATGAGGTTTTCTATTTATAAACTGCTAAAACCTAATAAACTGGTAGGAGATTTGTATGTTTGGCTTATCATATCTACAAGAGTATATAAATACTGCCTTTATCAGTAGAACGGCTGCAGTTAAGACTGTGAATCTCTCCCAGCAAATCCAAGGTCTGATAAAGCAGACCCAGAGGAATTATTTTGTTTGGCAACTGTCTTATTTAACAAGCAGACAAGTTGGGCAGCTTCACAGAAGTCAACAGTAGATTTTCACTCTCTCGTACTGCTCCCTAGATACTGCCTATTTGTGTTTTGGCTCAAAGGATGTCACTGGATGTTGTTTTCTCTGGTAAAAACTCAGTGCAACTGCTGCCCATACATCTGCTGGAGTTTTAATGAGGAGTCTGTTAATGTAGACTTCTTGCTCTTGAACTCCTAACACGTGACTCAAAACTCCTGTAATTGCTTTAGGCTCTTCCAGCCCAGTAGAAAAACAATGTGGATCAGTACTGCCTGCAGAGAGGAAGGACAATTGTGTAATTAAGGTTCAGGGCTAGGATACGCACTTCGTGGATATCCTTTTCCAACTGATTTTCTTTGTAGTTAAGGTTTTTAAAGTCTATAAAGGAAATGATGACATATCTTTGAGCTACTTTAGCCTTTTGCAAGACGTTTGAATAACAGGTGCCCTAGAAGTGGCAAAGCAGTTCTGTAAAACTAGATTTCCTACAGCAACTCTTAAGAGCTCTGAAAAGCGTATCAGTGTTCGACACCAAACAGTTATAGTGCAGTGGTATGGGCAGGAAGGTGTCTGTAGTATGTACTCTCTTTTCTTCCTCCCCCTGGACATGCTAAATCGAAAAGGTTGGTTACGGGACATCATCATAGCTGCAGTTCGAAAGCGAGCACTGTGGAAAGCACTTTGCTTCCAGACATTCAGACTGTAGTCAGGTTGTCCGTCTACAGCAGGAAGAGCAATACCCACCTAAGGCTGGGGCGTACAGCCTATCCCAAAATATTCTCCACTTCACAGGAATTTTCTAACAACATTCCAATATAATCACAGCTATCAGAGTTGAAGATATTTACAGGATGTTTATAGACTGTGGTAGGCAGGAAGTCAGACTAGATGATCACAGTAGCCATATAATAGTAAAAAATCCAAAACAAGTTAGAAGCCAGAGATTGTGCGTTTGTTTTAGAGACAATAGATCTTTTCCAGCTGCAGAGACTTTAGCAAAGGTAAAAGGAGAAAAATTTGGGTGATGTCAGTTACTGAGAAGTAAAATACCTTTTATTTTGCAGCAGAGCTGCTGCCATGACTTACAAGACTTATCTTTCTCGCAGATCACTGCTGCCTCACAGCAATGAGAGCAGCCTATGATGGCAGTAAGCCTGCTGCTATAAGCTGCTCGAGAAGCACGCTTCCTCGCTTCACCACCTTTTGGGTAGGCAAACATGGATGGCACAAGGGCACCGTTCTAATTGCATCTGCTATCTATGGAGAGCAAGCTATGAAGCATGATCTTCCTTGTATTCGGTTTTGAGGATTCCAAAAGTCTTCTAGCCGCCTATGTGTTTTTTTTTTTAAATGAGTTCAGACTTTGCTTTACATAGAACCTACTTATTAAGAAAATTAAAATTGCCATGACAGGCTAGAGTGGAGACTCAGGCTTGGTTTACTGCTACTGTAAATTCAGTTGACTACAGAAGAGAATGTTTTGTTGGCCAGATTACTGCAGCAGAAGAGAGGAAGGGACAAGCTACCAAGGTCTAAGGAATTTTATTTGTTCTGTCAGTGCAGTAGAGGTATTGCCACAATGAAAAAGTGGTGGAAACTTTCTAATCTTCAGATTTGTTTGAACCTTGTGTTAATAAGCAAGCGTATAGTGATGGCCATTTAACCCACTCCCTTTTCTGTGGTTGTAACTAACTCAACTGCATGCTGCCACCTAGGTAGCCTCAAAGTACATGCAGTGACAGTGTCTCCACATACTTTCCAGTGGCCTGTGTAGCATTTGTTAGTTACTAATCCCCAGGCTGGATCAATGTCTAACATAAAGACCAGATGGGCAAGAGGCCACAGGTCTAGCACTTCGTAGACCTGAAAATACCAAAGCCATCTCTTAAAGACAAGAGAGAACATGCCATGCAACAAACAAAATGCTTCAGGAAAAGAACATGAGTATTCTCCCAGTGTAAGGCACAGCATAGACAGACTCGAGTCACCATGACCAGCTCTAGGGAGTGGAGTAACTTCCTTGAAGGACTAGCAGCTTCTATCGCTGTGTGCCTACTTCCTCAGCAGCGTAATCAACAGCTTTCTGTTGGAACCACAGCAAGGCATTTATACTATCCCCAAATAATTTTCAGTTTCCATCAGCTACATAGCAGTGCTCTTACACCAAACCTGTGGATACATCTTTCCTAGTCAGCAGTGAGATTAGCTGTGCTGCTGAACTGAACCCAGTAAATGGGAAACACCTTAGCTTAGCATTTTGCCTTTGTATTACAACATGTCCTATGACTTGAGCTTGTATTGTGCTGTTCGTCCATTCTGGTATAGTCAAGCCTTCATTAAAATGTTCTAAAGGGGCTGGGTGAAAAAATAAAACATTTTGTCCATGTTTTAGAGGGAAAACAGGATAATGTAGGTAAATGAACAATAGGTAAAATTCAAAACCTCTTTGCTGATCATTGCTGCTCAGGTTTTCCATTTATAACTCCAAGCTCTCTCATATTGAGCTCAGTATCATTCAAAAGCAAACAGAAAGAAAAAGAAAACAGTAAGACAGAAACCCTTTCCACAAATTTCTTGCATTCAATTCTACACAAGAAGTTCTGGTCCTTGCCTTCCTCTAGATCTTAAAAAAGATTTATAGAAGACTAACTAGGATAATCAATGGCCTAGGAATAATTTATAGAGATGGCAATTAAGTAGACTAAGACTTTCCCTGACCTTACACCAGTGCAGGGAGCTATGCCAGAAGTTTACCAAATCTGGAGCAGCTTAGAAAACGTGACTGGAAATAGGCCAGTTGCTATCTCCTCCACTGTAAAAGCCAGCAGCACCACATGAATCTAACAGCAGACAAGCCCAAAACAAATACAAGATAGCAATTTTTCACAAGATGTGTGGCTGTGAAAAATCATTCCCTTGGAATGTAACAGCTTCACAAGGTCACTGGACAAAAAAAAAATAAAAATTAACTGATGGCTGTTAAACACCAGAGATCTTAAACTGCTGTCAGAATATTTAAAGAACACACCACTGCAATGCTCAACTTACTGATCTTCAACAACTTGTTTTGGCCACAGCTGGAAACAGGATGCTGCAGCAGGTAGCCATTTAGTCTGATTCAATTCACCTGTTCTTATGAGCCTCTATCAGCTGGTTTGTAATCAGGTTTATTTCAGTTCAGAAAAGCTGGATTGTATGTTCAGCTTGATTTTTTGTCCCCTTAAGAATTTGGAAAAAATTAATGTAGTTTTGCAGATGTTTGTACTAGTGGTCCTGTACCATGTACTGTAACAAGTTAAAATGCAAGACCAACATGGCCTATGAAGGAGTTTTAAGAGTTGCCTTTCAGCTTAAATGAGCAAGGTTCTGCCAGAGCAAGGCAGGGTTCAGTACTTTTTAAGTGACCAAGGACAAGGCAGAGGGAGGGATGACAAATAGTTACTGACAGAGTTTATAAATTACAAGCTAAGGGAGTATTAAGTGATTAAAAAGATACAACCATTTGTCCTGAGTCAACTGTTCTGTGCCCCATTAAACAAAAGATTCCAGATTTCTACTCATATCTTCAACACAGTGAATACAGAGTAAAAAAATCCAAGTACATGATTTTCTTTTCCTGTTTTGAATAATACAGTTTTCTGTCCCACAGATTTCACAACTCTGCACAAGTGTTACGCTTGCATCAGTCTTGTGAGATCAAGAAGCAGCGAGATTCTGCCTCCTCTTCCTCAGAGAGAAAGACAGACCAAGTTACAGAGCATCATATAAAAAGCTATTCTAGCCCGGCAGGCTTGTGTGTTTATGTTCCAATATCAGAAGTCAAGCCACTTTCTCCCAAAGGTGCATCAAGTGCAACCTGAAGCACACTGTGCCTGTAAGACTATTTGCAGTGTCCAACTACCTCCAACCAGCAAGATGCCAATTCCAGCTGCTTGTATTCTCAAACGAGGTCTCTTGCCTTCTCCAATGAGATAATTGCCAATTTTCTCTACCTCTTTTCCCTGATAAATCAGTTCACTATCATTCTTTGCTACTATGGAAATGGATCTGTTCAGTCAGAGACATTTTCTCTTTATATGAAATCTAAGTGTGCTAATCTGGTACCATTTGAAGCAGCGAGAGTGCAGCTGGAAGTGAAACAAGTTTTAGGTGCAAGTACTGATTCTACCAGTTCCAAGGAACATGATTTTGCTGTCTCCTGCCCTT